ATAGATCCAAACTGACTGAACTTCTCTACTTGTGACACCAAAGGTCTTGAGAGCACCTAAGCATTCTTTCCATGCTGTGCGCAGAACTTACGAACTGTCAGGTATCGTGAGTTTATGGAGAGGTAACGTTCAATACAATAGTAGTAGTAGTAGTAGTAGTAGTAGTAGTAGTAGTAGTAGTAGTAGTAATGATAACAATCTCAATAGTTCTGCTGGGATGCTGTAGGCCTATTCTTTTCAGCTCATGTCTTAAGTGTGTTGGCTGGCCGTAGAAGTGTTAACCGTACAATCTAAGATTGTTAGTTTTTTTGCCCTCGGTGTTAATATTGCCACCATGTCTATGTATACATGTAACTGTAATAATACTTACTGGCTTACCCACGTTTATACATATTATAGCATCTCGGCCCAACCCAGCAGCTAAGATTGATATAAACGTTTAGAAGAACCTGCTCTGTGCCTATTCTTTTAGAGAGAGTTTACCTCATCTTTTGACGTCTCTTTTTCTTTAACTTAACTCTCTCAATTCGTAAGCCTGTTCCCTGCTTTTTCACAGCAAGTTTAGTTTAATACATAATATATGTAAACTTTTACTTTTTTTTTTTGCATATAAAGAATGTTTCAAACTACAAACAGTACATGTATTATACCCACCACATTTTAAGAAGAAGAAAAAAGATTTGGTGAATGAGGCAAGCAGATATTTCTGATTAATGAGGAAAACAAGAAACAAGAAAAAAGCAACAATGCAGCATTCAGTTTGTAGACATGCCGACTTTTAAGAGTAAATAAAGAAGGAAAAACGCTGTAGACAAATTACTTGCTGCCTCTCGTTTTTTTCCTTCAGAATCTGGCATCCCAATGTTTTACTCGGAAATCCTGCAGACAACGACCATTTTTCCATCGGCTCTCAGATTACTCTCCACATAGGAGACCAAGGCAACGTGAGCATGTCAGTTCCGGTGTTCCTAAAGACGACATGTCACCTTGACCATACCATGTACCCTTTTGACGATCAGGTGTGTTCCATTGTCTTCAATGCTATTACAGAAAACGTGGTGGTGAGAATGACAGAAGTAGCTTTGGGAGAAATGTTCTCTTTTCATCAGGAAGCTACGGAGTGGGCTATAACAAGAAGAAAAGTGCAAATTCCTAAATATTCGGGTACGACGTATGAACCGAATGTCGTCGTCTGCAAGATAGGCCTGGCCAGACGTCCCCTCTACTACGTTCTCCTGCTGCTGGTGCCGATGCTTGTGACGTCAATGATGACGGCAGTCGTGTTTTTCATCCCTCCTTCATCCGGGGAAAAGATTTCCTTTCTGGTGTCCGTTTTCTTATCCTATGCGGTTTTTCTCAACTTTATCGCGTAAGTACAAACATAAGTAGTCTGGTCACAAGAACTTAATGCATGATAATGACAATAAATTTCACTTAATTAGAGCATTTCCACTGCAAAGAACACGATAATTGCTCTCCGCCTCTCTTCCTCCTTCTCTCTCTCCCCCCCCC